TTCTCCAACTCGGAGGTGGGGCCTAGTTGGAGAAAGTTAGGTCACTGCTCTTGAAGGGGATATTGAGACCCAGCCCCTTCCTATCTCTCTTTTTCTTCCCAGCTGCCCCGAAGCAAGTAGGATTTCTCTATGTGTGCTACCCACCAGGAGGTACTGTGCTGCCTCAGGCAACAGGCAACAGAGTCAAATTATCATGAACTGAAACTTCTGAAACTGTGAATCAAAATAGGCCTTTTTTTTTTTTACTAAATTGATTATGTCAGGTATTTTGTCATAGTGACAAAAGGTGATTAACACACCACACTTATATACCCAGTCACATTCACTGATGTGTCAAGATACTGGATTCTCACACTTATTCAGCAACTTCCTGTCTGAAGAGATCTCCAAGCTTCCATGATTCCCTATTTCTTGACTCCTGGTGATCCCATTAAAATTGTTGTAAGTAATAAAAAGGTGCAAATCCCACCATGTCCGTGACAGAGGCAGAAGCACCCAGCAGACTAGAAATTTCAACAAATTGAAGAAGGTGCAATATGAAGCAAGGTGGAGAAGCTGCCGTCCAGAGGAGGCAAGGCCTGTCTACAAGCAGACAGCTGAGCAGCCTGGCAGAGCTCCAAGAAGCTTCAGGTGCATGCAGCTCAGGTGTGACAGGGAAGGAGGTGCGCAGAGAGCAGAAGAATGGAATGAAATGCAAAATACATGTTTGTCTGTCTTATTTTCTTACAAAAGTAAGGCATGCTCCTTATAGGGATCCAATTAACAATGCTGAAAGTACAATGAATATAGTCTTTGCCTCTTTTCCTCCAAGCAATGGAATACACTCAATATAATTACTGTTAAATTTTTTGGTCTCTCTTTCCATGAATTTTTATTTTTTGAAACTTGTGCAACAATCACACATGCACTTCAATATTTTTTTTCAAAAAAATAAAATGGGATCAGATTCTACATGTTTTAAAATTAGGTCTTATTATTATTCCGGTGTGGTACCGCCCACAGACTAGGAGATAACTGCCATTGAAACTATAGTTTGTCACTGACAGTTCCCAAAAAGAGGGGGCAGTATGTGTGGTTCCAGGGTTTGTCAGGCGACAGAAGAAGCTACAGGAAAGCTTGGGTTTTTGTTGTAGTTATCCAGGGAAGGAATGGTGAAGGCAGTAGAAGCAGGCTCAACCGGCTCAGGATTGGCTAGTTTGAATAAAGAGACTGCCCCTGATTGGCTGGTACTGGACCTGGGGTGATTGGGGTCAAGGGAGAGAGTGGCTTCTCCAGTGAGAGTAGGTGGTGGGTCTGAGCTGGGATTAGTTCATTTGCATATGAAAGGGAAACTCCCAGGAAACTAATTTGCTAATCTAGGGATTAAGTAACCCTGGGAGAGGCAGTGTCTCCAAATCCAGCAAGGCCCCAGATTCAGAGCATCAACCATACTAGTAATACACGATAGCTTTTACTTTTTCATATCTTCATAGTTATCCCACCATTTGCGTGTTCTGGGCTCAAACATTAATTCCAGTTTTGTCTCTTTGGATCTAGAAGAGTACCAGACACGAAATAGATGCTCAAAAATAATTGTTGACTGATTTAAACAAATGGGCCCTGATGTATCTAACCATTGTTTTACCAACAAATATGCAGATTGACATTTATTGATATGTCAAACAATGCTTCCACAAACAGCCTTGTACATAAATATTTAGGCATCCGAATTGGTTTAAGATTGAGTTTGGCAGGCTGGGGATACAGCTCAGTTGGTAGAGTGCTTGCCTCACATGCACAATACTCAGTACCACCAATAAAACAAAACAAAACAAAAAGATTGAGTTTGGTGAGTAAAAGACAGACTCAGATAATTATGGTTTAACCAAGACAGATATTTACCTATCTTAAATTCAGCAAGTCTGAAGCTGGTCAGGTCAAGGGTGGTCTCCCTTCTCTGGAGGTGGGGAACTCAGCTTCTTTTGCTTTACTGGCTCTGACATTCAAGGCTGCCATTCCAAGGAAACCTTCTAGCCCAGGGTTTTTGCCAGCATATCAGCCAATGATCTGCATTCCAGAGGAAAGAAAGGAGCTGGGCTGGAGTCTGACCCCTTCCCTTGAGGATGCTTCCTAGAAGCTGCTACTTCTGCCCACAGTATTTATTATTGCCTGGGACTAAAGTGCACGGTCACACAACCACACAAGGCCACACACTGCATCCATGATTCTTCCCTTGCAAATGTTCTGTGTGTTTATTTTCATTTTCACTGCTAACTCCTAATTCAAGCTTTCATCAACATATTATTTAATCTAATAAACGGCTTATAATTAATAGTAGTACTCTCTATTGAACCTTCACAAATGGCTAGACACTATGCTAAGAAATTTGTGTGATATTTTCATTGTATCTTCACAATGACCCCCATTAGGCAGTCACAACTGTATAAATGAGGAAGGCTCAGAGAGTGTAAGTCACTAGCTTGAGGTCAAACAGCTCCAGTATGTAGCAGATCACCTCATTGAGCCCCTCCTTTCTCCAATGCCTGCCTGCCTCAGAGCCTCTGCTCTCTGTATATCCCTTGCTGTGATCCAACACTAAGCTTTCCTTCAAAATCCAGACCACAACCCTTTCTCCAAGATAGCCCAGTAGTCTCTCTCATCTCTAAACACTTAAAACCAGAGTAACCATTTGATATTTATGAGTATTTTGTAACTATTTCAAAAACCCATGTCCTTGTTCCTAAACTGTGCAGTAAGGCAAGGCAGCAGCAGTGTCTCATCCATCCTGGTGGATCCACACTACGCATAAGGTCTTGCCCATCGCAGACAGTGGGTGGCACACACCCCAGGGGAGCTCACCAGCAAGGTCCCCACCCATGCCAGTGAGCAATGATTAATAATATTCATGATGGTGACTGAGAGTCTTCAGGAAAGTGGTGAACTGTGTTAGACACATCTGGGGGAGGTTTTTAATTGACATTACTGAAATAAGATTGAGGAGGCTTGAAGGAATACATTTCAGGGTTCTTATATATTTTTACCCACTTCCGTCACATACACAAGCCCAGTTGCTCTCTGATATTTATCTAAGTTCTTTCAGACTAAGAGGATGGATGAACTAAATGACCACTAAAATCCAATCCCTTTAATTCCTTCCCACCCCAAACAGACCCTACCCTCCATCTAGCCAAACCTAGAATCCAAAAATAGCAGAAGGAGGGACCTCAGGGATTGTCTAGCCCAATGTCTCCAAATTACAGATGAAGAAAGAGAGTTTGGGGCTTTAAAATTTATTATTACCCCTTGTCATTAGGCATAACAAATTAGTCCCTGTCCATCAAGGGCCTTGGTGGTGTTCCCTGTCATGGTAGTCCCAAGATGCTGGCTTCCAGGACATCTAATAGATATCAGTGGTCTATTTCCTATAGAATACTCCTAGGAGTTGATTTTGCCTGACTTTCTCAGCTGCCAGGAGCAGGCAGGAACTGGAACCATTACTGACCCCTCAGAGTGGCTAAAACCCTGGCCCAGAGACTTGAGTTCAATCCCCTGGGAATGCACAGCTCTCCCCTAGTGTGTCTCTCTTCCATCCAAATCCATAATTGTGAGAGACGAGGAGAGATGGGTTAAGTCTCAAACCTGGGCTTGGGAAGAACCTTCAAGGACGTCCATCTCCTTCCCTCTGCTGCCAAGCAGAATGTACGGGTTGGGGCCCTGGCAGGGTTTCTTGACTTCAAAGAAGTGTTAAGCAGATTGACTCAGAGCTAATAAAGAACTGAAGCCTACAGCAATCAGAAACTTCCCTCTGATTCCCTAGAGCTGGGAAACCACAAAGAAGGAATGAAAGTCTCTCACTACCCCTGAGGAAAACTAAAGCATCCAAGAGCAGATTCTGTAGACAGTAATGTGACAGAGTTCACAGAAAAATTATATTAACATTTGAAGTTATTGAAGCTCATCCTTAGCTGTTTGGGGAGAGATAGTGCTATACCCAGAGAAAAAATGGCCTAATATTGTAAAAGCTAATGTAATATCTATACTCTTCTGGAACAAAATAAAATAATATACTTTATATTTCTAGAGAGCTGTTATTTTTTAAGGATTTCACTATCAGAGCACTTGGCCAGCATCATCTTATTGCTTTATCATGTTTCCTTTATAAAAATTTCCCTTAATATATTCAAAACCCACTTTTCACTTATAGAAAGTCTTAAGACTACTTGGGTAAGAATGAAGTTGAATCTCTGAATGTAAAAACCTCAAAGGAAAAAGACTACAATACAGTTCCCAGGCTACCCTCAGCTCTCCCCAGGGCTCATGTGGCTGACTCTTCTGGAATCTCAGGACTGAGCTGTTCTTTGTGGCAGACTGCTCAGGGGAGGGAGTTACACATTGGGTGACCACTGTCACTCCTAAGGGATGTGCTGCTGGGGGGTTGTCAAGTCCCTTTGCATGGTGGTATATACAGGTGAGTTTTCTCTTACCTCCTTGCCTTCTCAGGAATTGTGAATTTCCAAAATGAGTTTAACTATAAATCAGTTTGTACTGTGGACACTATAGTTTGGATCTCAAATGTTCCCCCAAGGACCCATAAATTGAAAGCTGGGTCCCCAAGGAGGTATTTCCAGGAAGTGGTGAAAACTTCTTCATAAGTCATTTGGAGGGTAGGCCCCTGAGGTGGATTATGGGACCCTGTTTCTTCCTCTTTCTCTTTTGTTTCCTGACCATGAGGTGAGTGTGTTTGCTCCTACCACACACTCCTACCATGCTGTGCTACCTCATCATGGGCCCAAAGCAATGAGACCAACCAATTTTGGACCTAAACCTCCAAAACGGTGAATCAAAACAATTCTTTTCTTTGAATAAGTGGATTATCTCAAGTATTTTTTTAAAGCAAAGGGAAACCAAGTCATCTGTTTCAAGTGATAGTTTTTTTAATAGTTTTTTTATGAATATACTAGATACTTTCTCTCTGAACCAATAATGCATTTATGATCTCTGTCTTTCAAGACAACCGAAAATAATACTAGGTCCAGAATCCTGTGATCCAGAGCCCCTGAGGCCAGGGTAGTGCCCACCTGTAGCAGCGGGACCATCCAAACACAGCAAGCTTCACTCTTGATTCCAAGCTGAAGTCTTCAAATAAACATCTGATTCCTCTTGCTTGCTGAAAAGTGCCATCAAATTGCCCCTGCCCCATAATGGACAAATTCATGACCACAGAGAAAATATAACTATTCTTTCCTTATTTACTAATTCTTGTTTTAGATGGCAGCGATAAACAGAACATTCTCATCCTGTAATGCTCTACCTTGCAAAAAATAAATACATGTGAATAGAAACACAACCCCACCCCCACCCCCACATTCTGTCAAAGCCCTGCGGAATCAATTTCACCACTGAAATCAATGGAGTAAGCTCCTGCATTCATTTCCATGGGACTTGGCATTGTAAAAATAATTGGATTGCACTGCACTCTAACACTCCATCCAGGAAACAGAGAAAATGTGCCCTTGCTAGTAGGTGGGGGTGACAATACGCCCAAGTGCTGGTGGGTTTCACCCTGTGTTTTCAGTATTGTCTTGTCAAGAGGAGGTATTATCAAGTCCCAGATGAGGCGCAGTACTACCCTCAATGAGGTGTTTAAAACTGCCTCCCCTGGTGAGAATGAAAACACTTCTTTTGTCCCATCTTTAAAATTAACTGCATAGTAATACCACTATCAATGAGGTGTTTAACATCAAAATTGCCTTCCCTGGTGAGAAGAAAAACACTCACTTTGTTTCCTTCTTTAAAATTAATTGAGGTTTTAAAAAACTCATCCCTATTCAACCACAGATGCATAGAAGGCTAAGAGATGAGATTTTTTAAAAAATGCTGTTTTTGATAGCCCATCCATGGTTTTTCAGTGCAGTTCTTCCTATTTAGACTACTTCTGAACACTTTTCTCCCCCACCCTCATTACACTTCTTAACATTGGCCTCATCCGTGTGGCCTTTGGCGGGGAGTTCACAGATACTTGCCAGAATGAAGGAATGACTCCTCTGACCCAGATATGCTTTAATAACTTGCTCATTTCCTACAAGCCTACTCTACTTATTCTATGAAGTTAAAGAAATTGCTTATTAAAAATTAAAATTAGTCTCCAGTATTAACATCTGAGGGGGCTTTGATAGACATAGCTGGAGATGATCCTTTCCTCCATTTTCTTCAAGCAATTCCAGAAGCAGCTCTATTCTTTATAAATTTCTGACCAGTGTTTAAGATGTGGGATGTTCTGTGGGCACTGCTTCTTGCAAGATTCAGCAGATTGCAAAAGACCAAAGAGACAAAGATTTGACTTCTACAGGTGGAGGTCCAGACAGGGCAAATTAACAATAGATTTGGAAGAATAAAGAAGCAGGTGAGCCAGGGGTGGTGGTTCATGACTGTAATCCCAGCAACTCAGGAACCTGAGGCAGGAAGATGGCAAGTTCAAGGCCAGCTCAGCAACTTACCAAAGCCCTGAGCAACTTAGCGAGGCCCTGTCTCATAAACAAAACAAACAAACAAACAAAAAACATAAAAAGGGCTGGGTATGGAGCTCAGTGGTTAAGCAGCCCTGGGTTCAATCCCTGGTACCTCAAAAAAAAAAAAAAAATAGAATCCAAAGGGGTTGCAACCACATTCAGAGCATCTCTCTCCCCTAGCATGGAGCAATACTAGAAAAAACTACATGGCCTGTCTAAGCTATTGGACCTGAGATAGTCCCACAGAGCACCTGACATCCCAGCATGTTGCAGGGAGCAATGGGATGCTTACCTGAGCCTGGGAGAGGCATGAGATCAGCTAGGAGAGGCCCTTGAGGCTGAGGCTCCTCTGTAGAGATGAGGAGGATGCAGCATGAGCTAAAACATGATGGGAAAGATGGATATCTCAGGGGATGCCTCATCTTGACTCTCGCCCCTGGCCCTATGCCTCAACACTATGTAAGCTCCCTGCAGTGGACACTCAAGTTCATAGAGAGAGAAACCCTGAGCTGAGTGAAATTGTTGCCATCATTTGGTAGGATGGGACCTTAAAGTAAAATAGAAATTCAATTATAGAAAAATAGTAACATTATTACAACTGCACCAATGTTGCCAATTAAAATCTAAAACAGGATTCTAAAGTTCTTTATTGAATATAAGATCTGTACTTTTGTACACATGATGTTTACTTTTTACAATTCATAGGTACCCATATCACCATTTTACTCCCAAGAAAATGAAGATTTCAGAGATGGTAGATAATTTGCCTCAGGCCACAGTGGGGGCAAATAGTAGAGCTAGAATTCAAACCCAGGAATGTCTGACTGCTAAAATGATGTTCATAACCCCTAGGTTAAGTGACACACAGTCCTTTCATTTGGCTCCCTAGAAGTCTCCAGAACATTCCTGTCTAACATGCCGCTCACATTTTCAAGGCAATCACAGGTATTGGAGCCCTAAGTACAAAGAAGCACACCTTTCTTATTCTTCCTGCTCCAAATCTCTAAGCGTCCCAATACGTAAGTGGACTATTGCTGTTGTAATATTTTGTGTGTGTGTGTGCTGCTGGGGATACAACTGAGGACCTTGAGCATGCTAGGCAAGCACTCTACACTGAGCTGCACCCAACCCTGTTATTATAACCCAAAGTGCCTGGACTTCAGTATTACATCAGTTCTTATTTCTTTTTTTTTTTTTTTTTTTTTTTGTACTAGGGTTTAGCCCAGAGGTGCTTAACCACTGAGCCACATCCACAGCCATTTTTATGTTTTATTTTGAGACAGGGTCTTGCAAAATTGATTAGAGCCTTGTTAAATTGCTAAAGCTGATTTTGAACTTGCAAGCCTCCTGCCTCAGACTTCTGAGCAGAGCCACTGGGATTACAGGTGTGTGCTCCCTCACCCAGTTCGGTTCCTATTTATTTTGCTGTCACCAAGCCTTATGAGTTCATCAAAACTAACCACTAACTAAATTTCACCAAAGAGCAATATGTGAAAGGAGACAGAGCCCTAGATCAGAAGTCAGTAAATCTATGTTCTTTGGTTTCTCATTCTTGCTCCGGTCATTAGCCAATTATTTGATCTTAGCAATCAATTAACCACATTAAGGCTTGGTCTCTCATCTAAAAACTAAATGCAGTATCTAAGGTCCTCTTCTAGAGCTGACTTTCATGATTCTGAAGAGTCAGGGTTAAGTTCATTATTTTATGAAAATTTGAAGTGCATTTCTTCGAACACTAGCTCTTCTCTGATCTCAGTATATATCTCCCTCCTAGATTTAAATCATCTATATTCTGGAATAAGACAGTGGTATAGAGTTTCACAGAGGAATGGAAAATAAAATATAATAATACCTCATCTTGGAGGCATTAGGAGGAAAATGAGGACTAAAAAAAATGATTTTATTTTCAGTAAGGCTCAGTGTAGGACTATAAAAAGTAATATAAGAATTGCTATAAAAATCTATCACTTTGACTAAAATGTGGAGGCAAGAAAGTCCACCTGGCAACAGTGCCCCCGCCCACAGAATTGTCTTACATCACTTGACACTGTTTACTACTATCCTTTCTTTCTTTTCATATTTATTTTTTAGTTGTAGTTGGACACAATATCTTTATTTTATTTATATATTTTTATGTGGTGCTGAGGATCAAACCCAGGGCCTTGCACATGCTAGGCAAGTGCTCTCCTGCTAAGCCACAAGCCCAATCCCTACTACCATCCTTTCTTTAGAATTTTTTTTCTGGTATTTGTTGATTCTTTTTTTCATATTGCTTTTGTTTTTATGTCCATTTCCTCAATTATAAATTCCTCAAAAACTCAGTTTGTTACTTTTCTTACACGATAGTGATCTTACCCAGATCACAACTTTGGGTAAAATCTGGGTAAGATCTTACCCAAAGTTGTGATCCTCCTGCCTCAGCCTCCTGAGCCACTGGGATTACAGGTGCACACCACTGTGCCTGGTGAGAAGCTGTCTTTATATTGAGATTGCTGAGCTATAGCAGATGCCCACTCTAAAATTTTGCCATGATGTAGGAAGAGCTTGCCAAGAGCTAACCCAGAGAAAGCAAGTTCTGCAGATGAAAAGAGAAATAGACTTCCTCGTATATCAATTACCTGGATCCTACAGTCTCTTCTCTCAATTATTAATAACACAGCCAACGAATTCCCTTTTTGTGAAAGCAGAAGCCATTTAAACCATAATATTTTTTTTGGTTACTTAAAATTTAAGGTAACCAAATTACAATGTGTGGACCTGTGGAGAAAGTTCATAGTGCTTTGAGATGCCCAAAGAGCCTTTCTAAAATTGAGGTCAGCCTCATAAGTATGTATAATTTTTATTTGTTGATTCAAAAATAAAAATAAATACATCAATGAATTGAGTTTGATTCCTATGCCACAGGAAAAGAAGGCAGATTGGAAACACATCATACCTGACTCATATACATGCTGATTTTAAAAACTAAACCCCCATTTTAAAAAAAGGAAAAAACTGATCTCCACAGGAAAAATAAATAAAGAAAATAACATCCATGAAGAGTGTAACTACAGGGCTGGGGATGTGGCTCAAGCGGTCACGCGCTCACCTGGCATGCGTGCGGCCCGGGGTTCGATTCTCAGCACCACATACAAACAAGGATGTTGTGTCAGCCGAAAACTAAAAAATAAATATTAAAAAAATTCTCTCTCTCTTAAAAAAAAAAGTGTAACTACAGTCTCACTTCATCCCCAAAGCAGTAAACATTTATTAATATGTGTTAGTGTTAAGGCAGAAAGTAAAACCAGAATGGCATAAACCCTACAAGTGAGTAGGGTTCCTTTAGAATTCTCTATCTGCTGCCAATTTACCACTTGGGATTCAATTTTATCTTAAAGGCATAATTATTTTTTAAAAATTTCTTTTGCAGCTGTAGATAGACAGAATGCCTTTATTTTATTTGTTAATTTTTATGTGGTGCTGAGGATCAAACCTAGTGCCTCAAATATGCTAGGCAAGTGCTTTGCCACTGAACTGAACTACAGCCCCAGTCCTTAAAGGCATTTTTTTTTTTTTAAAAATCTAAACACCTAAAACATGGTCTTTCCTCTAGAATTTTCTTATATGATGTGGGAATCAGAGTTGATTGTCAAAAATTGATAGATGAAGAAAGTAAAGAAGAAGTATAATATTTGAATTTATGAAAGATAGCCAACAGGAGAGTCACAAAAATACAGCTAATGAAAACTGGGAGAAAGAAGGGGTGGGACAAAAGATGTGAATTTGTCATGCTTCCATTCCGGATAAAATAATTACTGCTTTTAAACATAAAAAACCAAGAAATGCAAATATAAGCATATAATTTGATTTATGAAAATAACCATCCAGACAAATACAGAAATTGGCATTAATGTTCATCTCTGCAGAGTGGGACTAGGGGTAAAAGAGGGAAGATTTCTTTAATTTTATCTTTTATTCTTTCTAAACTTTTATTTTTGCATACATATGCACTTCATAAATTTTTTTAAAAGTCAGCAGTTATTAAGCTATGTTTTTCTAGGAAGCTTGTCCTCTGCTCTCTGAAATGTCCATTGCAAGCACTCTCTACTTCATCAGAAGGACTTCATCTCAACTTCCCACCTGTAAACTTAGAAACACCTTCTTTTTCTTTCAAAATGAAGGAGTGTCTGTTTACCTACCATCTGTGAATTGGATCCAAGCCCCTCTTACTTCTTCAGAAGTTGTTACTGTCTTTTACTCTAAGATATTCAAACTCTTCCTCTCTGTTAGGTCTACCAACGAGCATTTGCACATATTCAAGCTACTCACACCTTAAATTCAAAGCAGCCTTGATTGACCCCATGAACTTCTCCTGTTTTCCTCTCTCCTCTACTTTTCATAGTGAAAAGTCTCCACTTCCTTCTCTTGAGCTCCAATAAAGAATTTGCCTCCAGCACTCTAGCAAAAATGCTGGAGTTGGAGTTGTGGCTCAGTGGGTAGAGCACTTGCCTAGCATGTGTGAGGTGCTGGGTTTGATTCTCAGCACCACATATAAATAAATAAAATTAAAGGTCCATTGACAACTAAAAAAGTATTTTTAAAAAATGCTTTTGCTCATCTCACCAATGGCTCCAATCTCTAAACCCGACTATTAATACCAACCTTCCTTTTACTTGATTTCTGCACAGTTTGTAACTCAGGGCATACTTTCTTCTTAAAACATTCCCTTGCTTTGTGTTTCAGGACAACACACCTTATCACTGTGATTCAGCTTCCTTGTGACCTCACACATCATTGCACATCATTTGTGTATAAGTTTTCCCTTCATTTTGAAGTGTTCTTAAACCAAGCCAGAACCTCAGCCATGACACTGATGGGAGTGTTTGCTCCGCACTCCATATGCAGACCTTCATACCAAATGCTTCCATGCTTCAAACCTCTAGGTTTTTCCTTTCTGCAGAAAGGCCAGCTTCCCACTGGAATTTATAATGTATTTCTTTAGAGATATGATATAGCAGCTGTCTATGAATGTGCTTCCAATTATAGTAGAAAACTTAATCTTGTGAAATGAAGAGAACTTAGCCACCTGTTTGAAACTCAGCTGGGACAGTGGAAGCAGATGTTTCTCAGTTGGCTGGGATCCTCTTCCTTTTCTCTTCTGATAGGTGCCTAGTGGGCAACAGTGGAATAGAGGCATAGGTATTATCCTAGCATTTTCTGTGCTTTCTTTTGCTGATAGTGGAACTGTTTGATCTCCCAACACAAGCAAGGCACTTTTACTGATCACTTCTAGAACAATTGTCAGAGGTTTCCTCTATTGATTTGGCCCATCTGAACCTCAATGATCTAATTTTTTTTTTTGTACTGGGGTGCTTAACTACTGAGCAATCCTCAACCCTTTTAATTTTTTTTTTTATTTTGAACCCAGGGTTGCTTAACTACTGAGCAATCCTCAGCCCTTTTTATTTATTTATTTTTATTTTGAGACAGGGTCTTTCTACATTATTGCTTAGGGCCTAAATTGCTGAGGCTGGCTTTGAACTTGCGCACCTCCTGCCTTAGCCTCCTCAGCCTCTTGAGCAGAGTCACTGGATTACAGGTGTGCATCAACCAACACCCTGGCTTGATTGGATATCTTATTGAGAACTAACTGCTGGTTGGTTGCAATGGCTCTCACCTGCAATCTCAGCAGCTAGAGAGGCTGAGTCAGGAGGATTGCAAATTCAAAGCCAGTCTCAGCAATTTAGCGAGGCCCTAAAGCATCTTAGTGAAACCCAAACTCAAAATAAAAAGGGCTGGAAATGTGGCTCAGTGGTTAAGTGCCTCTGGGTTAAATCCCTGGTACCAAAAGAGGCA